GGGTGTGGGTGTGAGTACGTGTGTGCGTGCGGGTATGGGTGTGGGTGTGGTGTGAGTGTGGGTGCGGGTGTGGGTGCGGGTGTAGGTGTTATTGTTTCACCCACACCCACACCCATACCCAAGGGGGAAAAGTGGATTGTGGTATCCCGATATTCTCCCTATCCCGGTCGTATCCTCTGTATCCCCGTCGTATCCTCCGTATCCCCATTGCAACCTGTGTATCCTGATCGTATCCCGGATACGAGGATCCCTAATATCCGGGATACGATTAGGATACCGCTGGGATATGAGGATACAATGGGGATACGAGGGATACGAGGGATACGGCAAGGATACTGTTAGGGTCCTTTACCCGTTTTCTTTATTATTCTTATTCCTTTCTTTTCAAAACCCAACAAGCGAATGAATCAAAAACAAAAAAGCAGCAAGAAATGTTGTTTCTCTCCTTCTCTCTTCTTCCATGATATACCTCCTTGTTTATTTTCAGAACAAAGAGATATCATGGAGCGACGAGAATGAATGCCATTAACGAGAGCAGTGATATTATAGAGAGAGCCCTCTTATGTCAGGAGATGTCTCTCCTGACATAACACCTTCCCCAGCGATAAAAGATATAAAGTAGAACAAAAAGATACAATATGAAAAAAGGGTTTGAATCTCATACAAAAAACGATAGGCAAAAGAGAAAACAAGACGGATTTCGAATGATGAAGAAAGAAGATAAAAGCTTTCTTTTTTTTTGTACTTAGAAGCGGAATATCAGTGATGATCTGTAGAAAAACAAATGCTGAATGTGTTGTAATTACAATGAAGTAGAAAGCATTCAGAAGTGCAAATAAATCATGGAAGGAAACAAATGTTTATGATAAGATTGAATTTGATGGGACACAGGAAGATGCTAGTGTTTCACGTGATGGTGAAAGTAATAACGATGGGTATTGCTGTAGAGGTTGATGTAATAATGAATTAGGCACATGAGCGTACGGTGCTTGATAAACTGGTGATGACATGGAAGAGACATGTGCTGGAGTATGTTGTGGTTCTTGTTGTGTTGACACTCCAGTTTTAGTATCAGCCGGCAGCGTTTGCGAGCGTAAATAAGAAAAGCGATGATTACCAAAACTCCCACGGGGAGTAACAGTATGAACACATAATGTGTTCAGTTGTTAGTATCAAAAGTTTGGTCGCAAGAGACCACCGTTTTACGATTAAGAAAGGCTTCGATTGAACGTGTCAGGATGAACAAAATGTAAATGAAGAGGACCACTATTGCCGAAATTAATGAGTTACTAATAAGTTGAAGACGATGGTAAAATGTATATAAAGTGTATATAGAATGACAAGAAAGTAACGAAAAAACAGCGTTGAAGAAAATTATAAACACATAAAAGTTTTCGAATATAAATGATGATAAAATTCAGATATGAAAATATGCGAATGTAAATACTAAAGATAACATATGGATATGTGATGATTCTTGTAACGTGGTAGCGTAGGAAGAGAAAAATTTCCTTAGAATATGACGTGTTCCCGAGAATATACACGTCTAATATCGTTCGAATGGATTTGAAATTGTCGAAAATTCTCATCTTCAACAATAAATGATACTGGTGAGAGAATTTGAATGATTCGAGCAGGACCAGTGTATCGAGCTTTAAGTTTGTGTCGTCCAACAAAAATTTTCATCCATACAAGATCACCTAGAATGAAATTCAGATGTGATCGGTTTTTGTCAAAACGAATTTTTGATAGTGCTTGTTTACGCATAATATTTTCTTTTGCTTGTTTTAAAGCTGCATTTCTATATTGTATCACCTGCATCCAATAATCATGTGGTTTAGTAAAAACGAAGGTAGATGCAGGAGGTTTGAATGGATGCCGTGGTCGTCGTCCGAATGCTAGTTCATAAGTGCTAAATCCAGTAGAGCTGTGTATACCATTATTGTAAGCATAAACAATAGATGGTAAAAATGTGTCCCAATTGTTTTGATCAGTATTACAATATTTGGAGATTTGTTCTACGAATGTTGAGCTCCATCTTTCAGTTTGTGTCCATTTGTTTGTGGATGATATGGCGTTGAGAAAATGCGTTTACAATCAACTAAATGTGAAATAGCTTGCATCAGTTCGTTCTTGAAGTGTGTTCCTTAATCGGTAATAATTACGTCTGGTGAACCATGTACTAAAATAATTTCGTCGATTAAGAACCGAGCAGTATCTTGAGCTGTATTTGTAGGTGATGCTTTAGCGAAAACATAACCAGACAAACGATCAGTGATAACTAAAACATATCGATTTCCAGAAAGCGAAGTGGTGGTGGATCCCCACCAATCCATACCTAGTATTTGAAAAACATTATTGGGTGGTTGAGTAGATTGTAAAAATCCTGGTGGTTTATGTCAATCCACACTAAATTGTGAACATTTATCACAGGATTTAATATAAGATGTTATTGTGTCTTTCATACGTGGCCAATAATATGTGTTTCTTAACGTAGGCCATGTACATCCAGTGCCAAAATGACCACTTAGAGGGTGATCATGATAAGCAGCCATTAGTTCGGGAATTTATTTTGAAGGTGTATAAACAAGTTTAATAGTAGTATTATCACGGCGAGCTAATTTATACAGAATACCCTGTTGAATAATAAACAAGTCATAATGGCAATTATTGTGAATTTGTTGAATAATTTGTTGGATAGTTTATCGTGCGCTTGTTCAGAACGTATACGTGATAAACTAAAATCATATAATTGATTAGCCATTGATGGAGAAGAACAGGGTGTGGGTGGGGGTGTGGGTGTGGGTGTGGGATGTGGTTCTTCTCTTTGCCTACACCCGCTCCCACACCCACACCTTCCACAAATAGAAAAAATGTTTCTTCAATATCTGTATAATACATATGCACGTTGACGACAG